TATCTTCGAATTAATCAGTTGCTACTTCTGCTTCATGGATGAAAATAGTTATCGTATCAAAATTTTGTATGAAAATGTGACTTGTAAGGGTAGGGAAATATGTCAATTCAGTCTGTAAAAAGACTCAAAGGCCTAACATAATACTTTACTGCTATGAAAATGTCCTGTTTTAGTGGTTTATCCATATTTTTAATGTAAAGTCAGTGCCAGTTTTACAGTTGACTTTACATTGATTTTGTCAAAAGAAGGTATTCTAAAGGGGTACCTTCTCTATCCAAAATGGTTCATGGAAGGGTAAAGGATTGAACCTCAGGGCAGCACCTCCGTAAACTTTGTTGAGTTGCACTTCAGTCTCTTAAAATTCTTGTATCCAGTGCCGACTACCCTGAGGAGTAAACAAAGTTGGGTTCCAAACATTTAGATAGAATGCTTCGATGTTGTTCAATGTTGTTTTAGTTTCATTGGTTTCTGACTGGTCTGTTTTGGTTTAATGGAAGGTGCCCCTTTCATCAGTGCCTTTTTTATAGGAGACTTGTCATCATCAGGGAAATACAGTACTCAGGGTTGTCAGAAAGTTTTTAAGTCGACGGCTGGGCTGTCAAACAACAACAACAATTCAAGTTTATTTCAAATTAAGTATAGCTTACAAAGCTTGTGCCTGCAATTAGCGAAGGCTATTCGAGGCAGGCCGGTACAGGAGAAAAAAGAACATTCTATAAATAGAAAGATTATAGAAAATTCTATAAAAATATATGCTAACCAAGTAGGTGGCGATTTTCGCCGGCAGCCGGCTACTTTTGACAACCCTGGGTACCACCTGGTTTAATAGGTTTACTAACTTCTTATATGTACACTTCTTCAGCTCACGCGCCATTTAAATGAAAGTGCAGAGTTGGAGGCTGAAAGCCAGCATCTAATCAGGATGACTCAAGAGGTACATGCAATATAATATTATTATAGACCTTTGTCACGTTGCCACTCTGTCTCAGGAGATTTAATAAGCTTTGTTTATGCATGGCTAGCCTCATAGAGAGAACGAGGTTAGCCGTGCGTAAACAAAGCTTTTTAAATCTCCTGAGACGAAATGGCCACCACGTGACAAAGGTCTATTTCAGTTGAATCTCCATTCTGGGTACGAGTCTGTTTATTATGGTATAAACAACATGAGACCCACATAGTTAGAAAGAGCACATTGAGGTTATGAAGTTTGTTGTCGATCGGGCTTATATTGAACAAGATATAGCAGTTTATAAAACTTGAAAATTTGTAAGGGATGTATGGATTGCCTGACACATCGTCTGGACGTCTATATATTTCTTAGAAAATTTTAAAGTTTTTGAATGGCTGTATGTCGTTCAATATAGGCCCGATAAATACCAAACTTAAGAATGTTGCCAATTTCGATTTGCTCTTTCTGACTACATGGGTCTCTTGTTGTTTATCCCATAATAAACTGACTCGTACCCAGCCTCTCTCGATTTGAAACTGGGCAATGTGCGCTTTGTGAAGGACATGAACACAAACAAGATAAGGATTTTCTAATTCTTTTTTTAAACTTAAATATAGTACTTTAAAATTCAATTCCAGAAAAAATTCATTATCATTTGACAATTTGAACGACATGGAATGATAGCGATGAATTTTGAAACAGCGTTAATCCACTCTTTAAGAAACGTTTTCGACCCCATCGTCATTGGCACCCTAATAATAACATGTAGTCATTTATTAATTTTCCTTTGTTATAGATGGTTCATTTAAAGCAACAGGAGTGTGACAGGCTGCAAGAGGTAATTCTCTGACCATACATTAAAGTTAAAAAAAAGTCAAGAGCTCTTAAATTATAGAGCTGATGTTTGTGGATAAACACTAAAATGAACTTTGAAGATCAAAGAAATTGATACGTGCAATAAACGCTTCTCCTGGTTTTGTCCATTTTGAAATCATTCTGTTGATTAGAAGGAACAAGGCACAAAAAGCAGCTACTGATTTGGAAGAAGGAGAGACCTAACACCAGGAAGCTTAGCCTGAGAAAACAGCCGACGTTTGGCGACGCTACTACTGGTTTCCCGCCAAATAAATGACGTCTGAGAAACGAGCGCAGAAATTCCATACTGATGACGCGTCACTACGCAGATATGGGTAGTGCTTCTGATTCGTTGAATCAAATTTCTCACGCGGCACGACCAATCAGAAGCACTCCCCAGATCTTGGTAGTGACTCGTCATCAGTATGGAATTTTTGTGCGCGTTCCTCAGACGTCCTATGGCAGGGAAAACAATTGTTGCGTCGCCAAATGTCGACTGTTTTCTGAGGCTGCAGAAAGCTAAAAAAAAAGGCTCCAGATGAGAATCAAACTCACCACTCTCTGAGTTCTAGCCGGGGTGCTCTAACCACTTAGCTACTGGAGGCTCTTTGGTGAGCAGGAGCAGGGTTAAAAATTAAGTAAGATAGATAGATACATTTTTTAAATGAGGGTTTCACTTGTCAGTAAAATCCAACTAGTGGTCTATTATCAATGCTGCGTTCTGATTGGTTGAGCTACTACCATATGTTATAGCCCTCTAGTAGCGAAAAGCGTCGGCCTTGAAAACCAAAACAATGGCGGCTGAATCGCGTTTTGCTAGCTAAAGTTGTTTTGTCGTGATATTTTTGACCTAGTAGTTGGATTTTACTAAAACAATTATTTCTCTCGCCTTCATGGCCTCTGAGTCAATAGCCCATTCGGGCTCAAGGAATAATTGTTAAATATCCACAGATATTATACGCGTGACCCTCAACAAAAAATTAAACAAAAATTAAGTACGTTTTAAGTTTCAGCGAAAATAGGTTATGTTGACACTATACCACATAGCTTTAAATAATACATACCGACACAAGAAGCTATTCAGTACAGCAAGATCACCTAACAGATATGTGACGCTCCACTTTAGAGATCGGCGCGATGCAGCTTTGCTCCGTTACAAAAATCGCGTTAAAATCACCGGTGTTATGTGTGAACAGAAACCCTATCCGGTATCATGTGAACATAGCCTTAGTTATAATTACACCAGCTAGAGAGGACTGTATCGGGGACTTGCTTGTTTATTTGTTAGTGTAAAACAGGTACCTTTTTGCTGGGTAGTGCGTCGGGAAAAGTTTGCCGCTTAAAATATGCACTTCCTGGGCTGGGTAACGCAGGGGGCCAAACTTTTGAGTGTGAACACTTTTACCTTGATATAAACTACCATGATAAATTGGTACTATCCAGTGATTTTGTTACAAATAGTTATGGCGAGTCCCGGGACTCATCTTGTAAACAAATCACGAGTCCCACTCCAGAATCATTGAGTCTCAGTTAAAAAATCATTAAGTCACTTAATGGGCCTTTGTTTAACAGATAAAAGATATTCTTTATAAAGCACAACGAAGACTAAAGAAATATGAGTTGTTAAACAACAGCCACAAGAATCACACGAACGGGATATTCTACAAAAACATCTTCAGATCGATTGATCGATCTTTTAACCGAGCGCATGCCATGAACTTTTGTGCGTTTTGGGGGATTTTTATGCGTCAGAGACGCAGGACGCAGAGGTAACAAAATCATTGACTGCGAGAGAAATACATGTATAGATACATAGTACCAAGTATTAAATCTCATCATTAAAAATCGTTTTTATTAAAATATAAATTGTAAAATTGTTTGCCCACAGCACATAAGGCAATCAGATGCAAAATATGACAATGTGGTTTCCAGTGCGGAAGCTATGGAGAGGGAAAAACAGGAAGTTTCCGAGGTAATGGGACTCATATAAATATTGTACGCCTTCGCTAATTTCATACTGGCTGAAATTAGATGTAAATTACTTGTAATATACCTTTCCAAGAATGTCTGTCAACCCTTTACCAGAGGTTCAAAATTCTCTTCAACAAACATGCCCTCCTAAAGTGCTTTGTATAATTTCCAATACTTATCCAATATATTCATTATTCATCGCTACATACTGAAACGCACAACCTTACTTGCAATTAGAGTCAAGACCGGTCAATACGGATACTAAGGGAGCCATAGAAAGTGTCCGTTTTAACGGGGAGTCCTTATTAAGCTAGCCAAACAAGAGCCGAAAAAAGCGTCTGCTCCCCGCAGGCTAGTATTAAGCGGGTTGAATAAAGTCAAAATGTAAGGGCTTTCTTTCCCCAGGGACATAACTAACTGTGCGTAGTAATGAGGTGTCCTTATCAAGCGTGTGTTCGTAAAGCGAGGTTTCACTGTACACAGAGTGTGTTCACATGAAGTCACGTCGGCCATATTGGTGTACCAAAACAATGAAACGGTGGCCATGTTGGTGTTTCAAACCAATCCTGTGGGAGTTGAACTCTTTTCTTACGCAAACGCTTTCTTTTGTTCCAATAAATTTGCATAGGTGCTGGCCAAGTGAGTGAAAACGCTCTACATTATGATTAACAAAACTTAGTCTATGAACTTGGAGCATGCCATTTTATGGTTTGTCAACCAACGTATATAGCACAAAATGATGGTAGAAAATAACTGAAATGTAAAATGAAGAAATGAAGCAAAGGAAGAAAGGGTGACGTGCTGGTAGTATGGGAAAGTGAATGCAGTATTTTCACATTGCCCATAATACACGTTTTTACCCCCACATTTTTGCACAAGCCTTGTCTTCGAACGGGACTGTAATGCCAGGGTGAAATTGGAAACAGTGATAATGGAAAATTTGGGTAGGGGTGGGGGGAACAAGGTGTATTATTGAGCCCCTCTGGCGGCTTAGTCTGTTTTTGTACCAGCCTAAATTGGCAGTAGCACCCAGATCGCACAAGTTCAGAGCTGTAAGTATCACTGAAATTGCTTTCGTTGTAGCTCAACCATTTTTTATCTGACTTGAAGCTATCCTCTTAGTTGTTAGTGTCTCTGAGGACCCAGGTATTAGAAATACAACAGAAGCATGAGGAATTCCGAGTTGAGGAGCGTCAACGTCTAAAACTTGAAAGTGACAGGGTGATGGAGGAGGCATGTCTGGCCTTTAACAGTGCAGAATCTGATAGAGTGAAGATTCTAAAGTTAAAGCTAAAGAAAGAAAAGGCCAGGAGAAAGAAAGGAGACGAAAGAAATGAGAAACTTTTAAAGGTAAAATCCTAACAGGGAAAGAGTCTTCTTTTGGTGTTTGGTAGTTTGCTACACAACCGTTCGTTGTGTCGTCACGCACCACTCCTCCCAACAAAGGAGAGGAGCGTTGCGTGACGACACAAAAAACTGCTGTGTAGCAGACTAGGTTTTTGTTTGGGCAGGGAACAGAAAGGAGGGCTTGGGGACGTTGATCAGCCTGTTGCACTCTGTTAAATTATTCATTCGTGGGAATTCAGTGTAGCTTCATTACTGGACCACAGGATTACTGTGAATTTGCGTTCTTTCAATCTTTATCCCGATTACTCCAGCTCATTCACTTTGTCAAATCCAAGCGAACTCTTTTTGAGCCGAATTCCTAAGAACCATATTCAAGTTCAGAAAGAGAAATAAAATTTAGCCGTCGCTTGTTGACGTCTTCCATAAAACGTAAAATTAGGCATTTTCCCGTCTAAAGGGCCTCTTCATACGAGCCCGGTTGACCGGGCTGGCTCGGTTACCGGGATGAATTTTGCCTTGGGTTCATATGAGAAATTTCAGCCCGGTTTCCGAGATGAGAAAAGGTCAACGATTTCTGGCGCCAAATTTGGGAAACAAAGCAAACATGGCTAAACACAAAAATTTTAACTTTCGGGCCTATCTTACCATCGGTAACTCTTAAAGCTGTATCACTGCAGTTAAATGGGATGCTTATGATGTGGAAAATACAGCAGGCAATGCAAGACGATGCCATCCGGGCCGCCAGAATTCATCCCGCCGTTCATCCCGGTAACCGGGATGAAGTATTCATATGGCAAAATTTCCAGCCCGAGATCTCGGTTGGAAAAACCAAGATCTCGGGAACCGAGCCAGCCCGCCCTCTCATATGAACACATTGAAAATTTTACAAAGGATTTAGAGGTGAGGTGAGATCTCGGAAACCGGACCAGCCCGGTCAACCGGGCTCATATGAAGAGGCCCTTAGTCGTGCTGTGACGGCAAAGAAATGTACAAAAAAGCGTGATGCACGTGCAGAGTTGTTGTTTTGCCTATTCAACCTATTGCTTTTTGGACGTTCTCGTTGTTGTCGCCGTCGTGGTATCTTAAAGTCCCTTTTGTTTTATTCTTTAAAGAGGCAGAGTTTACAAAAATGTAATTGAAAATGAGCGCTTTTCTTAGGTTCTTGTTCTTAATAAAAGTTGTCAGTTTTCAAGGAGGTTCTTCAGGTAGAAAGATGTTAAACTTCTAACTTACTCTCAGCTTTTGCAGATGCCATTGATAAATTCAGATATTGTCATAATTAGGCCAATTATAGGTCATTATGTGAAAGTTATCAGTTACCTATGGCCTTCTTACTACAAGCCTAGTATTAGCATGATTCAGCTGGCTCTCTGGAATCCTATACAAGGTTTCACGAGATTTCTCCTGTATTGTCGGTAGTAGATGCGGCAGTTGAAATTTAAATCACTCACCGTCTTGTCTTATGCGTGACATGGTATTTAGCAGCTTGTCCTCTGTAACAGTTATTCCAGGGGACAAGCATATTTTTGTTTGATATTTCCAGGAGAATGAGCAACTGAAGGCGATGGTGAGCCTTTTGAAGTCAGAGGAAGAGACGAATGGCGCTGGAGCTGCTGCGTGTTGTGGCGATGCTGATTGGCAGAGCTGTAATTTTGGAGAGGAAGGATATAGTAGCAGCACCAATGAGGTATAAGTATGTTGCAATACTTTTCTCAGTGATTCGACAGACTATTGTTAGTTTTTTATTATTATTTTGGTTCAATTTAGTAAGGTTTACATGTATGTAACTGGTCAAAATAAAATTCAGGGGTTAAAATTTTTTAACCTAGGTTGATTCTCAACTTCCTTTGTCTTCTAGCCCTTATTTACGAATAATTATGGCTAGGGGACAAAGAAAATTGAGAATCAATTTAGGTTAAAAAATTTAACCAGAATTTAATTTTGACCTGTAACATATATATGCCCTCAATAAGCTCACTGTCTAATCTGGTGACGGTTTTTCTTGCGTTGTCTTTTCCTTAGTCTTCTGCTGGCGAAGCTGACGATGTTGATCACCTTTCTGGGTCTGGCCAGCCCTCAGGTAAACAAATTAAACGATAACAACTTACCAGGGTCAAGCTTTTCAAACGTTCCTGTACCATTAGAATCGAAATCTAAATGTATAAAAGTTAAAGGTCCGTATTTTACGTCGGTAACTTGTAAAAGTACTCAAACGGACAAACCTGATGCCAACTGTGCGCTCACTTCTTGAACGTTTTCTTCTTTAACCATGAAGTTAATACATGTGTAGTGTGTGTAGATATTTCGACCGTGTGAGAATTTTATGACAACTTCTTGTATTCAAAAGAGTTGAAGAGACCATGAATTCCTCTTTTTCAGATTCTGGAGATTCTAGTGACGAGGAGCAGCTGTTTGAAGATGCACCAGAGTACCTGAGTAGTTGAAGCATTCTTCTTGCTGACCTTGAATGTAGCATTAGGATGTTGCTATTCATGGAAATTGATAGAGTCCTTTCGATTCTAAGACGAGGTCGACTATGTGGATGAGATTTCCCCAATACTAAGAAGTGCGCGCTTGAACCAGCGTCATTTTGGTAGGAAAACGCGATAGCCGTCGTCATTCTACTTCGGGTTTTAGCGAAATGTCGTAGTGGCGGAAACAAGGTTCGGTGTCACTTATGTTAGAGTTTTTGTCATTTTGCGCTTGGGGTAGGACTTAACCTCCTTCAATAAAAATGACCGTGCTAACTTTTCTGGTGAAAACAACAACGACGAAAACAAAATTATAATGAAGCTTTGCGGTTAAAGTTAAATCTCGTCCTCGAATCTAAAGGTCTCTATATTAACATCTTGGTGTATTTCCAAGGCACTGTACAGGTTGCTTACCATGCATGTACGAAAACAATCCGAAAATTATAGTTAGTAATTATCGTTCGGAATGAACGCGTTCAGTACATGTCTCAAGTTGGGACCATCATTCACTACGAATTGGGTTGAATTACGATGCGCAACCGAGCTTTAAAGACCAACTTTGAGTTGTCGGGATATCGGATGAAACACTGAGTTGAGCTTTTGTCATAGTTTTTCAAATGAACAGTATCTCTTGAGAAAATTCAAAGTGTAACTTTGTAAAAATTACAGATCCGATAGCCAGACCACCGTCACGGAGGTGATTTTCCTTTCATGAATTAACAATGGTGCGAGAATTGATGCAAATGACTTGAAACGGATTAGAAATGAAACCCAAAGATCCCTTGGGAGCGCTTCAGCTAGAAGAAAAATTTTTTTGGAGGTCCATAAATCTAGAATATTTTCATCAGGTGGCAAGAAAGCGCGTGCCACTTACTTTGCAATTTGGAGATACGTAACATCTTTTCTGTTACGCAACCTGACAATTCACAGCGCCGGTGAAGTTCGAGTGGTTCAGACGAAATATTCGGGATTTTTCTGTCTCGAATGTGATATGAGTTTTGGGATATTTTGTAATTGAAATTTTAGAATTATTTTGGGAAGTGGTAAACAAAGAATAACCATATTTTGGATTGTGAGTGATTTTAACTGAAATGAATGGTCTTGTGTATTTATAAATCTTGGGAAGAGGTTGCTGAAATCGGCCTTTGATAATATCTCGCTTAAAAAAGAATTGGACACTATTTTTGTGCAAGTCGTTCTTACACGTTTTTTACACCAACGTTTCAATTGGTGGGTTTTATCAGGTTTGAAAGCAAAAATAGAATTTGTAACTAATATAATACAACTTATAGGCTCTAGAATATATGTTATTCATGTCATTACGGGAAAAAAGTGATTATTTATTATTTGTGCAAACCATGTTTAAATTAAAGAAAAGCGGTATTTAGTGTAGTCAGGAGCCCATTTGATGGGCTCCTGGTGTAGTATTTAGGGTACCAGGTGCCTTTTGAAAGAATTTATCGTTTGAAATTCAACTCCAAGTATTAGTGTTTAGCAGGGGAGTTAGGGTACCAAGTACCTTTTGAAAATAAGTTCTTGTTTGAAATTCAACTCGTAGTATTATTGTTCTGTACAATAGTTAGGGTAGTTAGTGTTTTGAGAACAGTTTGTCGTTTGAAATTCAATTCATAGTAGATTTAGCGAATTGTTCAGTATTAAAATCGAGGTTTGTCGACATGTAAGACAGTGTTGGGAACCTCTTGTAACCTCTGTTATAAATGAGAGAGGAACACAGAGCGGCCTTTGGTTGCTTTGGTCCGTTGTTTTGGGAAACTTCAGAACTTTCTGTATTCTGTATAATAACCTCGAGTTGGGGGATAATAGTTTGTCACTCACGGATTTATTTGTGGACGAAATCTTGTGGTATTTCCATTTAAATGAAGCAACTTTGATAAAACGTTTGCTTAGTGCTTAGTGCTATTTGTTTCTTTCCATTTTAACTTTTGAATGCTTTATCCTGTTTTTTTTTTTCCGACTCAGTTTCACTGTTTCGTTTTTACCTTAACTTCTTTCAGTCAGAAAGGTTTTTTAACTTCCTTATATTCATTTTCTTAAATCGTATTTTAATTACATTTTTTTTCTACCTTTTTTTGTATAGAGGCCTTATTTACGTGGTTAATCTGTAGGCTTTTGTGAGGGAAATTCATTTGCGAACTCCCTTACTTGATAAATTTGTAGTTGTCTTTGCTAGACATTAAAGTAAAGCTACCGTTCCGTAAAATAAATGTTTAAAACATAAGATTACGTACGTGATATTACACAGTTTTTAATAGTGGTCGAGAATAAAATGTGTTGTTTAACCTTCAGTCGGTGTTTTGCTCTTCCCTTCTGATGAACCCTTACAAAACGATGCAGCTTCTTTGAAGGCATCCCTTTATTGAAATCATCTTCTTTGGGACTAATTGATACGTAGTTTTCAGCATAATTCAGTAGTAGTGGAGACAGCTTGGAAAAGGTGGCAAACATCAAAAAAGAAAACGTGGGTGCTGCAGTTTATGTTGGAATTTTCCGGACGGTGCACGATCCTTTGATTTTTGCTCTCAAATTGTGACCGAATTAAAAATTAATGCTACGTTTTTATTGGTCAGTAAGATCAAAATAATAGGAATGCTATTGGACGTAGTGCTTTGGCAAGTTCACAAAAACATATAACATAGGAATCTTACGGCTTCATAACCATTCCAAACCATTAACTATCCTTTTAGTAGGCTATATTTGCGTAAGCCGGTTGTTTTGCGACAGTGAAGAGATAAAATGCGAACCCAAAAATATTCGGGTGCTACTTACAGTCTTGACATATTTCCTAACGTTCAATTTTATGGCAAATAAGTACCCTTAATTGGCATTAAACAAAATGAACTAGACGTCAGTGACACATCCTCTTTCAACTAATCACAGTAACTAGAACACATTAGCTATGGAAATTAACTTTCCTCTGTCCCCTTGCAATGAATTACAATTTAAAAGCATCTTTTCAAAATCAGATGGGGACGCAACGATTGTTGTATTTTTACGACACCAAAAGCCAGTTACTCTTCAAAGCGTTTTGAAACAGTCATTTTTTTTAAGAGGTGCAAGATTCCATAAAGTAAATTTTAAAACTTGAAAATGAAAATCAATGCCCATAGTCGTCTAGCAGCTTAAAATAGCCGTTTATCTTTTATTTAACTCCTTTTCTTGCGTGAACACAGCAACATTTATTTATTTTCCCTTCTTAGATTGGTTTTAATTAATCTTCCTTGAAGGAAACGTCATCTTAGTTAAATGCTGTTTCAATAAATGTATTTTAAAACTGATTAAAAGATTGAAGTCTTACATTATTTATTAATAAGCCGCATTTGCTTTATGATTTAGTTGAGTTCTATCTCTGTAAACGCAGCTGTTAAAAGATACTTATGCCAACAAACGGAAGGTGAAAGCCCGGGGGTGGTACTTTAGGAATTTCTGGGTGGGGATGTGCCGCTGGGACCCTGGAACCCTTAACCTATAACAGAGCTAGTTCAGCTGAATTTTGCTACCCTATACTAGAGTAAACTCCCCAAATCCCCTATCTTAGAGTAGCTAATTCCCTTGTCTAGATAAAATCTTCAACCAACTGATCATTTTCCTGAAAAATGATACCCTATTCTAGACCCAAACACTCTGATTTATATACCCTATCCTAGAGTAAACTGCCTGAAAACCATACCCTTCACAGCGGCACATACCTATATAGCCTATATATGGCAGTGCCCCCCCCCGGGGGTGAAAGCTATTTGTTTACACTACAGTCACTTAATGTACGTGGGTTCGACTTCCGAGCTATCGCCGAACGAAATCCAAGGACGAAAACGCATGTATGAATGTTCAATGTTTGACGTCCACATGTCGCATACTAGGTACGTAAACTCTTCTTGTTATTTCCTTCGAGCTCGATTTTTCTCAGCGCGTTCTCTACCCTTTTTGTGAGTAGAGACATGTTTTTGAAAACATACAAATTATGTCTCTAACCCTTTTCTTGGTAAAGATGTACATTTATAAAGATGATACTAGGCGCTTCCCTATTTTCGCGTTTAGTTTGGATAATTAAGTTCCAGGGTTGTTTAAAGGTGCCCGTTTTCAGTAGAGAAACAAGTACAAATCAGGTTCTGCACTGAAAATTACGCAGTAGATATATAACAATTATTCATGATTTACTTGCTGTAATTTGAAGATATTCTCGCTTTTCTCTAACTCGACTTTTATGCATAAGACACCCGAATGATGAAGTTATTTGCAAAATTTAGGCTTACATTTTGTTACAAAGCTAAGCATCGGTCGAGACATGCTAATAATGAAAAATGTCGTTTTCGCTACAGGCAATAAAAACTGTTGATTTTACTAAACGCTCCTATAACTTCTTTTTATTTCAGCAAACTTTTTTTACTCTCTTTTTTTTCAGGAAGATTTTTCCTTCACTAAAAAGGCACTTTATCAAAGTAGATGCTTATCTAAAGTGTATGGGCCATTATTTATAAACGAGGCGTAAGGAGGCTGGGTTCCGCCTCCCATCCGCATTTTTAATAAAACTGAATTTATCGCTGGAAGTGTGAATAAACAACGATGGACAAAGGAAATTACTCTTTGTCTACAAAGGACAACGATAATCAATACGGCGCTGGATTTTTATCAATATCGCCTCTATTTTTCACAATTATTTTGTTAGGGAACGGTCTACTCATTCTGGCGATAAAATCGTTTCGGATTCGTCGTGTCCCCGATTTATTAGTGGGCTCATTGGCAGTCGATTATTGTGTTTCAAATATAATAGACTCGGATGGTTTCAGAGATTTACAAATGCACACACTTTATCATGTTTGTAACTGAATGTCTGCGTGTCTGCGTTTGTCTGCTTCTTTCATCAGCACGTTAATGCCTCTGCGTCTGCGGAACACTGCGGCCGTTGTTTATCGTACCAAAGTCACGTGTGTCAGTGTCGTCAAAATCATTGGCTGCGGCATATTGTCAGCGGCTTTTGTCGCCGCTTGGCCGGCTATAGGCTGGGGACGAGTTAAGGCTTATAGGGGCCTGTGCTCGTTTGACTTGGAAGAGCTTTCGCTCTCTTTATTGCCATATTAGGTTACATCCAGGTTTCTGTGGTGCTGACCAGCTTTATTGCTGTCTCATTAAAAATGAGAAGATACCAGGGAAGACTGGATCGATTGAGACGCGGAAGGACGCTAACCTTTCAGGACGGTAAACTGCAGAGTATGGAAACATTGACACAAGGCAGGAGAGTCGAATTAAGGAGATAGAGAAAACTTTTAAGCAAGATAAGGCATCGATGAAGTGCCAACCACGACAAGAAAAATAAGTACAAAAGTCAGGAGTGCTCAGTGGAGGCGATATTCAAAAAAGCCGTTCCTCAGGCATCGTGATGCTGGCTGGGAAGTATGGCATCTTAGATAAAAATTGGCTGGGAATTAGCGAAGAATAATAGCTTGCTGGCGATTTTTTCTACCTAAATTATTTTTGGCTGGGAGATAACACACCACGCCCACTTCCTGGCTCACACGCTCTTTTTTCATCGCTTTGCTGGGAAAAACTTCAAGCAGTTAACGCCCAGTACAACGCCGATAATATGACGTGCAGATGACATCTGAAACTGTTTAAATGAAAACTCCTCTACGCCCCTCTATTCAATATCTGACAACTGGCTGTCAATCAGTATAAAATTAACTTTTTTATTCACTTTTCGCATAGACCGGTACGTCTAGAGAGAGAGAGAGAGAGAGAGAGAGAGAGAGAGAGAGAGAGAGAGAGAGAGAGAGAGAGAGAGAGGGAGAAAAGCGAATAAGATGTGGCAGGAAGTCTTTCTTTTCTTAAGACCGTTGGAGGAGCCTTTTCGTTAAGCTTAAAATGTCTGGAAGGCCTAGAAACGTCAGGCTCAAAATTCATGTGTTAAATACAAACATAATAAGTGATTCGCGATTCCCGTTTCTGGCTAATTCGCCAAAATCTGCAAAAAAAAAACAAAACAAAACAAACAAAAAAAAACAAAAAAACTTTAAATCCGAATCCCAAGTACCTTCTTAATTCAAATCCGGTATTACACAAACAAATTCAAACATGATAC